TATATTTCGTTAAAAGTATTAATTATCGCGATTGTCTCGCTCAGCGCCAGACATCTGCTATTGGTTTTTAGCGTTCTTGCATTTAGCAAGTCGCCCGGGAGTGAGATCGCAAACCAGTGTGCGGACGACAAAGAGACTGCTATAGGACATGGGAAATATACGGCCTCCGAAGGTCGGCGCTAATGCCCACCTCAGAGTGACGCCGGTCATGAGGAAGTGAAGCACGACTGTTAACCTTGGGTCATTAACGCGCATCACGCGGTAGTGATACACGACCGCACGCCGCTACGATGCTTATCCAGACTGAAACACATTCGACCACCGGACCCCTATACCGTCCAAAAAGTTGTGTGTAAATGTTGTTTTGTTAAAGATGACTGCTTACATTTTACAAAACCCTCAGCCATCTCCCTCTGTCGAACCAGAGGACCTGAGGTATATTTGGTCTACACACGACCTCATGTCACTCCCGGATAATTGCCATCCCTTCGCGCATATCGCTTTGCGCACACAGCCACTCGATGATTCGGGATTAATAACGCATTTAAACCATACTTTGTTTCAGTTTAAATACAGACGCAGCCGACGGCACGAGCTAATGGGCCAATGAACCTTCTGCCGTTTACTATTGGTTTACCCATGACAGAACATGTATCGAAACAGGACGAACACCATGATGGTGCCCTTTTGACGCCGTCTGATTCTCACCCCTCTCGTAGCGTTGGCTGCGTCTGGACTTAAAGGCCGGCGATCAGACTCGAGATTCTGCAAGGCAGAAGATCTTCCTCACCATCGGGGAGGAGGAAACAGGCGACAGTGGCCAGGGTAGAAGGGGGGAGAGGAGGAAGAAAGGGAAAGGTGGAATGCGCGAACTGGGTCGCCAGTAAAACAAAATATAGAACACTCGTTATTTTATTTTTTTTTTTCTAAAGAATCACATTTGGTTAATCTAAAGTTCCCAGATAAGAGGAGCCCATCGTGCTTTCTACAAGTAGCGGCATTCTTTGAAGCGCCGACTGAGTGACGGTGCATGTTTTAGGAATTATTAAGAACCCACGTTAGGTTAGTACCAGCACATCGTCAGGTTACGCTACTATCACAGTATAAATTAAATGGCATACATTTATTTTTTTTATTCAAAGAATCGCTAGTGAACTAGCTATCTAATCGTTGTTCCGAACTTCAGATGGTGAATTCAGTATGATTTATTAAGAAACCACGTTAGGTTACTACCAGCACACCGTTAGATTACGCCATTATCAAAATATAAATTAAATTACATATTTCTTTTTAAAGGAAACACTAGGTCAACGGCACTATAGAAGAACACTGCAAATTTCAGTTGCTCGAACATTACGCAAATGACCTAGTAAAGAAAAAAACAACAAGGGGAGCAGCAAGTTTATCGAAATTCTGATAGTCGCCTGACGTGGTTTCTCAAGAAACCATGTTGGGTTGCTATCAGAATATTGATTAGATTAGATTAACTCCAAGAGCACACACATTATATATACTTCGCTTCACTTTAAGCCCGCAAACCGCAACCGGCGCTATGAAATCCGATGGAGCCACCAATGAAGCAGTGTCAAAAAGTGCAACGTCACGGCACTCTTCGTCTTTTGTGGGATTGCTATAAGCGAATAAACCATTTTTTTTCTGTGCGTGATTGGTTTATTTGATGGTAAGGACCCCCCCCCCCCTCCCCTACCCCCACCCTTTCCCAAAAGACAACGAACGCGGTGACGAGGCACTTTTTACGCTGCTTGATTGGCCCCCATCAGATTGTAGAGCGTTGGCCGCGGTCGAATTTGAAGTCAAAGGAAGTACACAGGGGAATCTCGTTAATTAAAACTCTCTTAATTCAAAATCTCGGATAATTCAAACATGCAAGGTCCCGTCCTATGCGTTTCTAGGAAGGACTCTCCCGGTAATTCAAACTTTCCATTATTCAAACAAAGTGTTGGTACTTCTCGGGTTCAAATGAACCCGAGGGGTACCAAAAAGATTCCACTCTATAATAACCCAGCATTTTTTTTAATGGCATCTTAAGAATGTTTGCTATGTTATGCCATCAGACTACCAATCTAGAAATCTGATTTTTTTTCCCCCTCTTTTTACCCTGATATTCTTGTTTTTCATCACGTACGATACCGAGAAAACCAGTAGCATTGCTCACTCCACAAGCAGGCACAGGATGCGCATTCCAATACAGAGTATACAATCGGGACCGTTAAACGTGCCCGTGAGCAAATAATAATAATAATAATAATAATAATAATAATAATAATAATGATGTTTATTTTTTGCATGTATCATACTTGGTAGGAATACGGGTCTGTCAAAGCCAGTTGAATGACTTGTGGGACAGCACCCTTCACTTCATGAGTAAAAAATGTCCCTCTGATTTGTAGTTCCCGACTCAAGCACTGTTACCACGCTATGATACTGACAATGATAATTAAAAAAAGAAAAGAGAGAAAAAGATCACGTTTGTTAGCGTTCACGCCAAACACACACAGGGTCACGCACACACAGACACACAAATTCACGATGTTTAATATAAACAATAATAATAATTTAGAGAAAAAAACTTGTTTCAGCAGGGTTCATTCTTGTTTCACGACGAGTAGCAAATACACCCTACTCAAAAAGTATAACAAAAAAACATTGGCGGTCGCCATTTTTTTTTTTTTTTTCGTGCACGAAGTTTGCGATTGGATCCCGAGTCCTCCCCGAAGGCTGACGCAACGCTCGTTTTCGCGATACGAGCCGAGCCAAGTTCACGTTTGAAGGTTGACCCAACCAACCAACCCTGCTACACGTTCAGTCAGATTAGAAGTGCCCCAAAACAATGGTCGACGCTGATAATCGGCACTGCAGCAACTATTTTTGCAAAAAAAGAGGGGGTCTCTGTTCCGTGCTGCAACAGTTTATAGAAACGGATCGTTTCCCGGAGACAGGGCGGGCTTCCGTTTCTGGGGTGTGTCTTGCCCTTTTCCTGAGACAACGGCAGTTTCCGAGGGAGCGTCGGCGGCGGTGGCTCCATGCAGCAGCACACCGTGTGTCTCCCATTTTCCAGCGGTCGCGGAAATATGAAGGATTTCTGGCAGATCTCTTACGTTGCTGTGCATAAAGACTAGGTCACAAAACAATCATGTAAAAAGAAAAAAAAAACACCTACATTCGTCTTTAGCTAAAAAAAACCATATGTACAAAACAAAACAAAAAATCGGGCTTTTCGCGGAGCCTTATTAATATTCCTCTTTGTGTAGATAATTAAGAAGCATGTTGGGCGCTTTCTAGATTAGATATATGTTGTCGTATCAAGACGTACAACCGCTTCTTCCACCGACAGCCAAATCTTGTATGAACTAGTTCGCGCGACCTATACACACAAAAAAAAAAAAAAAAGCTTTTTTTTTTTCTTGGGGCGAAAACGAACAGAGTTAACAAGTACAACACTATTCAGAGCAAAGTGTGAGAAACACCGTCAAACTGAGTGAGAGTTTTTAAAACTCAAACTAAGTTTTCGCAACAGACACCTGTTGCAAGAGAAAAGAAAATGCAAAAGTTTTTTTTAGCGTCGAATAATTAAGAATCGTTAGAGATAGCGAAAAGTATTTTGCAGTGTCCAATAAAATTTTCGCGAATAACGACTATTGAAGTTAAACGACAAATGTATCGAGAAAATTAAAGAGAACAAAATTTACGTTCCCGTTGAACAGAGATAAAATACTATGCCATTTCTTCAATAAACACGTCACAACTAATTCAAGTTATATCAGGCGTATACCTAGAACTTTTTAAACCGTCTTATTATATATTATTTTTTGAATGTTTACTTGGCACATTTACCGATTTTTCTTACCCTATGTCCACTGAGGAGAACTCAAACCAAATATATTATACCAAATTGCGAATTAAAAACAATTCGCAAGAGTATTGTTCACCTCAATGCAGGCGAACACCTTAATATCTTCAAGTTACACCACCATACACTCGCCTATAATTGCACTAGTATTTCAGAACGGATACGATAAGAACAACATTCGAATCTCAACCAATATACCAAACGAGAGCTCCTGTGCAGTAGTAACATTGATAATGCCCAATCAGGAGCGTCATTTCCGAGCGCTTGAGAAAGGCGAACAACAATGCAACGCGGATTAATAGTGAGATAGAACGGTTCCCGAGAAATGTCGGAGAACGGAGCAACAGGCGGCAATAATAAAACAAAGATCAGAAAGACGTGTTGCGGAGAAACTCGCTTTCTACGCGGACCGAAATCACCACGCCGCATCGGCTGAAACAGGTCGACTCCCAAGCAGCGAACGCGTTTTCTTTTATTACTATCTATCTTTCACTTTTTCCTTTGCTGTTCGTTGTTTGCTTCAGCCCGAAAGGTGCTTGTCTCTGTTTTTTTTTTTTTGTTTGTTTTTTTGTGAAATCTTTGTTTTAAAGCGGCACCACTTACCCAAGTTAGCACGTACAACTTCACGACGCGCAGCCAGTAACGATGGAACGCACCACGGCTTTCGTTTTTGCAACAATCCGAAGTCCCTTGGTAAAAAAACAAAAGCAAAGAAAAACCAAAGAAGAGGAAAGAAAATACTTCCCCCCGGCAAATACTTTCGACGGCAAACAGCTCCTCGAGAAAAAAACGTAACGCAGGAAACAGAGCGTGTCGCTGGTTTTTACGTGCTCCCGCGCGCAACGAGCGCGAAAGTGTATCTCGAGAAGTGAACGCCGTTGCCCGACTGCGTTGTTTGACGCTGCATATTACATTGCGCTCGTTGCTAGCTAAAATCAAGACAGGGTTGTTGTTTTCTTTCTTGTTTTTTTTTTTTTTTTTTCGACTATAGGCCGCAGAGTTCAGACCCGGGGTCAGTTATCCCCCGAACGCAACGACACACGTCGGTCGAACCGTAAACTAATTTTAAGCAGAAAAATAAAATAATAGCAGACGACGTCGTCAAAACGAAACCAAAAGAAACACTCACCCTGCCACGACGACGTTCGGAGAACAACACAAACTCCTGCAGTTCCGACGACCGGTGGTGGAGATAACCGGAGTGCCGTACTCCTCCTCGCGAAACGCGGGGTCCAAACCCTGCGTAGCCCGTCGCTCGAGACGGGGGGGTCGTACACCGACGCTCGAGTCGGCGTCGACGTCGTTGTCCACTGTGTCGTCGCTGTCCAAGTCGACGCGATAGACAGCGGCGAGCGTCCGTTGCAGCGCCACGTTTGCAGAGACGATCGCGTCCGTGCTCGGTTTTTCCGCGTGTCAGGAGCGCACGGACTGGAATCGACAACGCGCACGCAGACTTCGACCGCCGCCGCGGACCGAACAAACCACGTGCTGCCGCCTTCGGAACTCCGCGATTCGCGTCGGTCTAGTTGGTTGTCGCTCGACTAGATGGCGCCACAAATACGGAAGCGGTCTCCGGCGGCCGCCATGATGGAACACCTTCCGTTGGCTTCGTCCGTGCGTTGTTGCGTGCTCGAAGGCGTTTTCTCTTGTATCGTCAGCTGGCAAGGTGGCCTGTTTCTTTCTTTTTCCCTCTTTGTTGATCTAGTACTCGCCGCGTGTTGCTTTCGCTCGCGGTAGCTCCTGTTTGTATGTTGGATTTGTTTTTTGCCTTTTTTTTTCTTTTGTCTTTATCAGACGTCCTTTGTCCGTGGCCTACGGCGAAGGAGGAGGATCGGTCGACTGGTTTCGAGTTCGGTTGCTGCTCCATTTGTTTTAAGAACGATAAAGAAAACATAAAATAAAAGCGGGTGGTACGGAAAGTTTGCGTCGTGCGGTAAATTGGAATGGGAAGAACAGGCCCATTTCTTTATTTTATTGTACTTCCCTCCGAATAGAACGGTGTCTCTTCGTCCAAGACTGTGAGAGAACGTCGCATGCATGGATGGGAATATTAATGCACCGGTTGAAATGAATGGAAATATAATATCTACGCGTAGGAAAAGGCAGACGCGGGTTCTACAGCTTGCTAAAGCCAGACCTGGCAGGCAACTATCAGGAAACGTTTGTCAAAAGAAGAGCTGTGGATCCAATAGCCAGAGGTGCCCGCTTTTTTTTTCTATCAATAATTATACGTCTTTGCTGACGCCAGTAAAAGTAGCCGACTAACCTGGCTAGACGTTTTCAAGCAGCAACGCATCAAAAGCTAGTCTGGTCGCCGTGGATGGAGAATGCTTTGTTTGGTTGCCAGTCTCGGAAACCTGGGGATATGCCTTAGCAAGGCATGCCCAGAAAGAATCATACTTTTGGTTTCTAGGCTGGGTGATGCAAGTTACCGCCCGTTATATAGGGTATAGCCGTTCGCATCCATTCATCCATCTAAGCTTCACAATAATAAGAATAATAATCAATCAATCAATCAGTCTTTATTGTACAGTGCCCAGGAACAATCCTGTGGTCTTGGTGCAAATAATAATAATAATAATAATAGTAATAATAATAATTATTATTATTACTATTTTTTTTTTGTTTAGAAATCGATTCCGCTCTTTCAGGGATCAATCCAAATAAATTGATACTGTGAGGCGGCGTCAAAATGCACAAGTGTGGTTAACAGGTGATATCTTGTCATGCATTAAGTACAAAGATGCTCAATGGGCTAAATGCCGACGTTCTCCTAGAAATGTTCAGCTAAAGATAGAGTTCCGCGCTACGCAAAATCGTGTAAATGCGCTTATCCGGTGCGCAAAAAGAAAATACTTCCGAGATAATTTTCTTAAGGTAAGATGAAATATTCCTGAAACTTGGCGTTTTATAAATCGATTGTGTGGCACAGGTGTTAGGAGATCCATTGATGATTCACTTGGGAAAGTATGTGATCTTAATACGACAGTGGCTGAGGATTTTAACAAGTTTTTCGCTAAAATTTCTGGAGCAGCGCCTAACGATGCTACGTTCTCTACAGAATATCTGGAGTCTAATGTTCCCTCCGCTATCCTTCCTCAAATGACCGAGCTTGATCTACGAATTTGTCTTTTCAAATGCAAAACAAACAAGGCGCCTGGCATAGATGGCATCAGTGCAGAAGACCTGCAACGCAATTATAATTCTATAAAGCACGTGCTTGTTTATATGCTAAATGGTTTTATTTCTTCCGGGATTATCCCGGATGAATTAAAGACGCACGTGTAAAGCCTTTATTTAAAGAAGGAGAGCACAAAAATCTTAACAATTACCGCCCAATTTCTATTTTACCCCGTATAGTCCAGATCTTGGAAAAATAAAACATCCAAACTATGACGCGGTTTCTGCATCGCTTTAACATTCTATCGTCAACTCAGTCATGGGTTTGCCAGTGGACGTGGGACCCAGCCACTTCTAGAAGATTTTGCTGATTAATTAAATTTTACCTTTGAAAAGCATCAGGTTGCTTGCGCACTTCTTAATGAAGTTGCAAAGGCATTCGATACCGTGAGTCATAATATTTTACTAACAAAATTGCAAACCATTGGATTCCGCGGCCCATTCCTTTCACTGCTTCAGGACGTTTTGTCGGGAAGGACACGACTAGTTTCCATAAGTAATAGCCGAGGCTCCAAAATTAGCTTAAAAGCTGGGGTTCCTCGGGGTTCCGCTTTGTCAGCTCTCCTTTTTAACATATTTGTAAACGATATGTCCAAAGCAGTTTTCTCATGGAAATTGTTTCAATACGCCGATGACACGGTATTGCTATCACAACACCTTGATAATGTTGCAGGAATCACTTTACTCCATGACGACATTTGACACCTACATGACTGGTTTAGAGATAATTGCCTCACGATCAATATACATAAAACTAAGCTTGTTTACTGTCATAACCCACTTAAACTTATAAGTACCGATCATTCACTTTACATGCATACATCTGGGTGTACGCCCTGCAACTGTTGCAGGCACGTAGCCGGGGGGGGGGGGGGGGGGGGGGGGGGGCGCACCCCCCCCCTCCTTGAAATCTTCCATTTTGCTGGGACCTCCTCTCCCCCTCCCCCTCATACAGCATTTTGTCATGGGTGGGCCCAACACCTCCTAGAAATAAGGCCGTAGCGCTCTTCTCGTGACGTCGCAAAGGAAGGCCATCGGGGGCGCGCGTCGAAGCGAAGGCAACGCGCGTGGATCGATCGTCGTAACGCGCTTTTAGTCACATACGCGTGTGTTCTTAGCTAAAATGAAAGCTGCACATAGCAACGGGTCTCAAGAAACACTTTATTACACGGGCAAAACATTACACCGCTAAATGATCGGTACGAAATGGGACGAGGTATGCGTAGAAGACGTCTGTAGAAAAATGTGATTGTTTGTTTTAAGTAAAAACAATTGGGTCACGCAATTTTTGCTGTAGGAATGCATATTCTATACAGAAATACTTCGACGAAATGGCGAGACACGCAGTGATTGGACACAGAAATACAGATCACAGTTAAAAATCAGGTAGACGTAGCCAACGCGGACACAACTAGACAAGTGTCACTTACGATCATGTAAGCGGTATTTTCGCGTGCAGTCACTGAATTAAAATTAATGTAATTTCAATCGAATGACAATATCGGGTCGACAAATCAGCTTGCGACGCTCGTATAATCACTCAAAACAGCGAGGTGATTAAATCTCGTATCATTTATCAAAATATATTAACTTTTCCGTGTGACAGGGGTACCAAACTTACTATTTACAGTCAACTAATTTACTTCTCCCTATGGGCTCGAGCTGCCTAAGAACAAAATAAAACATATTTTGTATACAATAATACTATTACCTTAATACAGTTGAGATTCTAGTATCAACGCGGTAAAGGTAATACAATAACATTAGTTTAAATAAACACATATGCACAAACAACGCACTTTCAATAATCACACAAACTTGTTATTTACCTTCCAGTAAAAGCTAGAACATTACCAAGCATATTTACAAATGTCGACGTAATAGCAAACGGATAACGACGAAGAACGAGATTCCATTCTATCACGAGGTTAAAACAAAAATCGAATGCAGCACTTTACTTGCGTCTTAGACCAAGAAAGCCCGTAAATAAGTGGTTTCTCACCTGTCGATCGTATCCATACGTCCCACAAGATCCATCACGGAAACATTTGAACACGAACTTCAAGGAGTCTCTCTCTGTCGAGAGAGAGGTCATCGACCAGTGTCATCGTAGACTAGTTGCCACACACGTCACTCAAACCGTAGCAGGACTTGTTTTGCGAATCCACGTGCATGCCGTAATATCAAGCAAACACACAAAAAAAAAAAAGAAAAAATTACCCGAGACTGCGGTGACGATAAAAAAAAACGACGGGTAGGAGGATTCAAAAGAACCACACACACACACACACACACGAGAGCAGCGACAGCAGTGTGGGACGAGAGGCTTAACATTGTCGACCCATCTCTTGCTCGTGCGCGCTCCCTGCAACGATGACTGCATTTTTTTTTCTTTTCCTTTCCTTTCTGAAATGCCTCAGCGTTACTTTTCCGACAGTCAGCAGCTTACACACAACGTAAATTTACCAGAATCCAAATTCGAAAAGTGTGGGGACCAGCGGGACTGCGCCTAGTCCCGAGGTTACGGGGATAATCATAAATATAAATTTGGTATTTTCAACCTTGGTAACGCGTTGTATATTACGTTTATAATATATATATATAGTAAATTGTACAAGACTGCGCCTTTAAAACGTATATCAATGCCGGAGAAACGCGCACGAACACCATTGCGCCGCTCGACAAGAAACAGTTTTTTCACGTCTATAGACGAAATGTTTCTGACGTAGTTGCGCCATGGCCTTGCTTTCTCCGACATTGTGACGTAACCACTCGGAGCGCTACGGCCTTATTTCTAGGAGGTGTTGTTGGGCCCCCTGTCTCTCCCCCCCCCCCCCCCCCCCCCCCCCGGCCAAAAAAAAAAAAAAAAAAAAAAAAAAAGTCCTGGTTGCGTGCATGAACTGTTTTCCTGTGTGTTACGTGGATCAAGTTAACCGTATATAGGAATACAATTTGAGAGTGACTTGTCGTGGAAAGCCCATTTGTCCCAACTTTGTAGAACGCTGAGAAAAGTATCCTGTTTGCTGTATAATACCAAATCTCTAATACCTATTTTAACCAAAAAGACAATAACTCTCGCTTTAGCACGCAGTGTATTACGCTACGAGGTAACTATGTTTGGTCACAGCCCAGGACTATGGGGCAAAGAAATCGACTCAGTTTTGAAAGGAATATTTAAAACGTATTGTGTACGCTGCAATGTCATAAACTGAAGAAGAAATGCTAACAGGCTTGAGTTTGCCTTTTTTTAATCCTTTACTTGTACACACGGTTGTTCTAAAATATTTCTGGAGCGATACTTTT